GAACTGAGAAAAGTCAAGCGTGCAGCTGCCACGATGCCACTTGCCACCAGTTTGGCCATATTTCAGAGCTGCAACATCACTGGAGTGCCCAAAAGCACAAGGTGTGCAATACTCAGAGACATGGCCAAGGTAAGAAAGGCTGAAAGACGACCACCACTGAACAAGACACACAAGCTGAAACGTCAAGACTGGGCCAAGAAATATCTCAAGACTGATTTTTCTAAGGTTTTATGGACTGATGAAATGAGAGTGAGTCTTGATGGGCCAGATGGATGGGCCCGTGGCTGGATTGGTAAAGGGCAGAGAGCTCCAGTCCGACTCAGACGCCAGCAAGGTGGAGGTGGAGTACTGGTTTGGGCTGGTATCATCAAAGATGAGCTTGTGGGGCCTTTTCGGGTTGAGGATGGAGTCAAGCTCAACTCCCAGTCCTACTGCCAGTTCCTGGAAGACACCTTCTTCAAGCAGTGGTACAGGAAGAAGTCTGCATCCTTCAAGAAAAACATGATTTTCATGCAGGACAATGCTCCATCACACGCGTCCAAGTACTCCACAGCGTGGCTGGCAAGAAAGGGTATAAAAGAAGAAAATCTAATGACATGGCCTCCTTGTTCACCTGATCTGAACCCCATTGAGAACCTGTGGTCCATCATCAAATGTGAGATTTACAAGGAGGGAAAACAGTACACCTCTCTGAACAGTGTCTGGGAGGCTGTGGTTGCTGCTGCACGCAATGTTGATGGTGAACAGATCAAAACACTGACAGAATCCATGGATGGCAGGCTTTTGAGTGTCCTTGCAAAGAAAGGTGGCTATATTGGTCACTGATTTGTTTTTGTTTTGTTTTTGAATGTCAGAAATGTATATTTGTGAATGTTGAGATGTTATATTGGTTTCACTGGTAATAATAAATAATTGAAATGGGTATATATTTGTTTTTTGTTAAGTTGCCTAATAATTATGCACAGTAATAGTCACCTGCACACACAGATATCCCCCTAACATAGCTATAACTAAAAACAAACTAAAAACTACTTCCAAAAATATTCAGCTTTGATATTAATGAGTTTTTTGGGTTAATTGAGAACATGGTTGTTGTTCAATAATAAAATTAATCCTCAAAAATACAACTTGCCTAATAATTCTGCACTCCCTGTACAGAGAAATGCAGAATAAGCCTCCCCTCATACAAATAACTAAAACAGCCCACACACAAACAAAAAACACAATCTGCACAAACGTAACCCGCTAACAATCCACATACATGCACACAATCTCACATGCAATACCCCAAACAGCCCCCACACATACACACACTACCAAACACACAATGTGACATATCCATCCACACAATTCCACAAGCAGCCCCCATACACAGCCCACATTCATAGGTATCATACACAACACCACAAACTACTTGTAAACATATACAATATAATAGCTCATAAACGCACAAATACAACAATACAAAGCAATTACAGTATAAATAACACAAGCAGAATACGGCAGCATACACACCTCAATTTAAAAAAATAGGACCGGCACGCTACGGGACATCACAATCCTATATCGGCACAGTGCTGCTAAAAGGTTGCCTACCCCTGGACTAAGCATTCATGGAGTTCTCATGGGATTTTAGGCACAAAATAGTAACTTCTTAGTTGACAACCAGCTGACATGGAGATTTTTTCATCTCAGTTTTTTTTTTTTTTGCATATTGTGTCCCAAATTTTGAAGCTGTTTATAAATTGTCAACAACTCACTGTTTAATAAGTGCACCTCAGTGTCAATTAGCAAATTAAGCTCCATATTTCAATATCTTTCTCTTCTTGGACTTTTCTTTAGGAATGAAGAAAGTAATGCAGAACATTTTATAACAGATACTAATTTAGAAGACATCTTTGAGATATTTAATGTAAACCTTCCAAAGTTGCCATCACAAAACCAATCAAGACAAACAAGACAGAAGGCAGCAATAACCACATTTAACATATCTGAGCATTATAGAGGAGAAAGGAAATGGGTGATTGCACGGCAAACAAATGTGTGTCCACTGCTTGATAACAAAAACAAGAAGGAAAATACTATAACCATCAATAACACAAGCTGTAATAAATATATCCAAAGAGCAACTTGTAATGTTGGATACAGGTTAGGAGCTTATTACACAGACAATGCATCAGAAATATCAGAACATGGACTGAAGGTCAAGGCACTATCAGTGAGCAAGGAAGAACCAAGAGTTCCAAACACATCACCTGTCACCTGTCGATGTGAAAGATAGAAACAGGAGTACTGCAAATTAAGAGCATTGATGTAAATACATCTACAAAGCTACTAGTTTTTATTTCACTACTGTGTATAACGTATGACCCACTAAGTCTTATACAGAATCATATGCAATTATTCTTTTATACCCTAGTCTACAGAACTCTGTTCTTTCATGGTTATTATCTTGTCTGTCCCAATGCTCTTTCAACAAGGCTGTTCCTATGCGCCCTTATCCATCTCTGAGTTGAAAACTGCATGCTTTCTGAATCTCATATTATAAAAAAAATTATATAGGGTTTCCATAACTGCATATGAAATTTGTTTATTGCAAAAACATTTAATTTGCAAATTATGCCACAAATACAGTGCAGTTGCTTGAAATGGTAGCACCAGGAGATGTGACACTGTGAGCATCTGAGTGTTGAATACAGAGGTTCTAGCTCTTTGTATTCAGTGCTATTCTGTGCTTGTGCCGAGCAGTTTAGGGGGGAGGAAGGGAGGAATGGGGGAGGGGCTCCTTTATCCTGTATTTACTGAGAGCACTGAGAGGATGTGACATGATCCTCCCATGCTCTCAGTAAAAAGACTGCTGGACCTGCTGCTTAGAGAAACTATCACCCTTTTTCCCACAGGGTAAGAAAATTTGAGAGTGGCTGATGGGGAGTTCGCAGGAAAGAGTAGTGAGTGTGCTGACAGACCAGCAGCGACCATATATCCACTTACAACACTGTCTATCTGTAACTTTATTAGTTATGAATACTTTTTTTTTAAAGTTTGTGTTTTTATACCCTACCTCTTGTAGACTGTAAGCTCACTTGAGCAGGGTCGTCATCAATCTATTGTTTCTGTAAGAATTTGTAATTGACTCATATATTGTTATATGTCCCCCTATGTAAAATATTGTAAAGTGCTGCAAAATAAGTTGGCACTATTAATAGTAGTAATAATAATAATACTTACATAGAAAAGAACTGTTTGGTAAGTTGAAATTTTTATATCAAGCTTCATTGCACCAGGCAGGGTTAAACATTAAACAGAAGCAACATGGTTGGCAAGAAGTCTGAAAAAGTTGATGACTTCCACGGAGAATAAGAGATCCATGAATTGTTCTTTAGTGACTGGTTAAAAAAAGCAGCTTCTGATATCCATTGCCTTACTAGTGAAATATTAATGCATTAGCTAACAAGTGAAAAGTAGCAACAACTTTGAAAATGAGCCCTTAATGGTTTTGAGCAGTTACATGCTATCTAGTGAAAGACTTTAACAGAGATGTATATATTAAACACAGAGTTTTAGCGAGCTGAACACTGACTTTTAAAACATTGACCAAAATAGCTGAATTGCCAATAATCTCCACTACAAAAGAATCACGTGTCATTAGAAGAATGATTTGCATATTTTTCGTTATTTTTGTCTACATTTTGCAAGCTGCAAGTCATTTTAAAAGTCACAGTGTATAGATGACAATAATTGAATAGCCACACACATTGTTTTGCACTTTAGATACATTTGCTCAATATTACTCTGAACTAAAATCAAAGCAAATTATAATTTTGAACAATATGTACTCAATCATAGGCATGCGCACAGGGTGCTATGTGCCTGCATTGGCCGGTGAGGGAGATCAAAGATCTCCTTCAGCGGCCCACAGGCAGGGAGGCAGGGAGGAAACAAGGAGCTCTAGCCAGCATATCTTGCGAGAGTGAACTCTAGCCCTGCAAGCTAGAGTCCTTCCTCCCTACAAAAGGTAAGAAGAGGGAGGGCGATTATTAACTAAACGGTCACCCCACCCCCACACAAAACACTCAAACAGCACACACTAACAGCACCCACACACATACATCACCCTTAAACACACAGTACCCTTACACACACTAACAGCACCCTCACACAAACAGCACCCATACACACACAGCACACACTAACAGCATCCTCACACACACACACAGCACCCTTACACACACTAACAGCACCCTCATACACACAGTGCCCTCGCACACACACTAACAGCACCCTCAAACACACACAGCACTTTCACACACAGCACCCTCACACACACACAATCAGCACCCTTACACACACACCACCCTCACAAACACACACACACCGCACCCTCACACACAGCACCAAATGTGTGTGTGTATATATATATATATATATATATATATATATATACACGCGATGTGTATGTTGTGCTTTAGGTTGCACACCCTTATGCAATAGGCTGCGCACGCCTATGTACTCAATACATTTTGTACCCACACAATAAATGGTGGGAAATAATACTGGTAATAGGAAGATAGAATAGAAACTGATAAGTATGTACATATTCTCAGAGCAGGGCTGAGTCTGAGACACAGGACAAATCTTCCCTTAAAAAGTTCAGAAACAAAATTGGCCTTTTTGTTTTGGTATTTTGGACAGCTGCCCGTAACAGAAATGCAACGGATGTTCTCATATTGCTCCAAGCAAGAAATGGCATTTACTATTACAGTTCTTGTGATCTATGAGCACATTGACTTGATGCTTTGTCAGACTTTCTTTCAAGCATTTTTACGTGTTGCTAGCCAGATTAGTGCATTTTGCGGTCTGGATTCATGAAAAGGAAATCAAGGCATGCATTAAATTTAACTATAAAATTAATGGAACACTCCAAGCACCATAAACACTACAGTGATCATGGAGCTTGCAGTGTTTCTTAAACATGATTTTATCATTTGTGTAATTAAAACCACTGACAAAAGTGTCAGGGTAGTTATTATCTAAAGTCAGTCAGATACAGCTGCTGGTAGACCGAGCATTAACACAAGATTTCAGGACCAGACAGATCAATCTTTGCACAGCCTGGATTGACTACAAGAAAGTCTACGATGCAATGCATGGATACTGGAAAGCTTGGCTCCTATACAAGGTCAAGAAGATACTAAAAGCCTTCATCAAGAAATAGGCAAGTTGAGAACAATACTAGTAAATTCTTGTATAATCACACAAGTAAACATCAAATGTGGCATATACCTAGTTGATGTGCCATCGTCAATAATGTTCTGCATAGGCCTTACTTACCTCAGATCATCATGAAGAGTCAAGCTGGACTGGTGCACCGGGATACCGGAAATATTACTGGTGGACTGGTATATCTTCAAGGGCAGTGCACTTCCCCCTAGGGGTGACCAGCAGGATGGGAGTGCACAGCCACAGTAACTACATGTAGCATGGCCGAGCGGTCGTTAATAGAGGATTTTCTGTATCCCCTTTGGTCTTATAGGAAGTTCTTTTCCTATGAAAAATCATTGTGATTGGCTGAGATCACCACTTTTGATGATGTAAGCCAGGGAGGCAGATAAGGGACAGAGCCAGCACTGCAGACTGGAATAAAGGTACGATTTTACTATATTTAGGGGTGCAAGGAGGGCTTGAGGGTCTAGGTAGTGTTTTTAGCACAATAGGGTCAGGATTACATGTTTGTGTTCCTGAAAAGACTGTGTTTACATGAAAATGCCTAAAAGGAATGATTATACTCACCAGAACAACTACATTAAGCTGTAGTTGTGAGCTATGTTTTTGTTTGGGGAATATAGTGACAGTATGCTGAAGATTTCCAGCGGCTAAATTTCTTAAAGGGAATCTATAGTCACCAGAACAACTACAGCTTAATGTACAGAACAACTACAGCGACATGTTCTGGTGAGTGTAGTAGGTCCTTGCAAGCTTTTTGTAGAAAAGGCAGTGTTTACATTACAGCCTAGGGATACCGCAGCTGGCCATTCCTCAGATGGCTACTAGAGGTTCAGTGTCTCCACCCACTGGATGGAGACGCTGAACTTTCCTAATAGAGATGCATTGATTCAATGCATCTCTATGAGGATATGCTGATTGGCCAGTGCTGTGTTTGGCTTGTTCTAGATCACATATGGAAGGCTGGTGGGATAATGGGACACATCAAGGTCTGAGTGGACAAAGGGCCACTAGAGCTGCTTCATAGTCCAGTGCTGCGCAATGTGCAGCACCAATTTGAGCGTCTCCACTCTCTGCATGAAGGCACTGAACGCTCCCCTTACAGATGCCCTATGAGGATATGCTGATTGGTGTGGCAAAGTGCAGCATTTTGCTGAACATACGCAATAGCCTCACAATGCTTTCCTACGGGAAAGCATTGGATTGGCTGAGATCATCAAGTTGGATGATCTCAGCCAAAGTCGAGACACCAAAAATGATAATTTGATAATTGTATTCATAACAGAAGATATTCATAACTGTCTCCTTTGCTCTTGCTCCTCTCTGTTTGCTTTTCTCTGCCTCCTCTCTGCTTGCTCTGCTCTGCTTCTCTTTACTTGCTCCTCTTTGCATGCTCTGCTCCTATTTGCATGCTCTGCACTTGCTCCTCTCTGCTTGCTCTGCTCTTGCTCCTCTCTGCTTGCTCTGCTTCCCTTTACTTGCTCTGCTCCTCTCTGCTTGCTCTGCTCCTCTTTGCTTGCTCTGCTTCCCTTTACTTGCTCTGCTTTTCTCTCTTTGCTCTGCTCCTCTCTGCTTGCTCTGCCTCCTCTCTACTTGCTCTGCTCCGCTCACTTTGCTCAGCTCCTCTCTGCTTGCTCTGCTCCGCTCTTCTCTACTTGCTCTGCTCTTGCTCCTTTCTGCTTGCTCTTGCTCCTTTCTGCTTGCTCTTGCTCGTCTCTACTTGCTTTGCTCCTCTCTACTTGCTCTGCGCTGCCTCCTCTCTGCTTGCTCTGGTCCTCTCTGTTTGCTCTTCTCCTGCACACATATTGCCTAATACATACATACCCATACACGCACACTGCCTAATGCATACATCCATACACACATACTGCCCAATACATACATTTATACACACATATTGCCTGAAACATACATCTATACACACAAATTGCCTAACACATACACGCATCCTGCCTAATACCTACATCCATACACACATACTGCTTAATACATACATCCATACATACATATTGAAAAATACATCCATCTATACACATATATTGCCTAATACATACATTCATACACAGATACTGCCTAATACCAGACATCACAATGACATGCTCATGTAAGTAAACAATGTTTGTCATTAAAATCTAAAATATGTGTTATGAATATAATTGGTTGCATGGTCACTCACACACTGTTAAGTATACACGCAATCTCATTTTCACACTCTCACTAACACACACTTTTACTGACGTATACACACAATGTCACGCACTCTCACTAACATACATTATTAAGTATACACACAATGTCACACACATTATTAAGTATTCATGCAATGTCACACACTCTCACTAACACACACACTATTAAGTATACACACAATTTCACACACTCACACTAACACACACTGTTATTAAGTATACACACACAATGTCGCTCACAGCAGTTTACAGTCACACTTTTTTTACACACACACAAACATACACAAAATCAGCCCCCTTAGGCCCCATGTGGGCTATACCTGTTCTAGTGCTCTGGAGAAGTACCTAGCCTGCAGGAAGTCTCCCCTTTGTTTCTGCCGGGGGAGCAGGAGAGCATTGCACAGTGAGCACAGCCTGCTTCCTGCTCCCTCCGGTGTGTGTCTGTGTTTACAGTAAGGGGGCATCCATCTGCTCAGGGGTTGGGCTCTGAACAAGCGAGCAGTAACTTCACTTTCTTGGCTGGGGGGTGGCACAATGGGGGGCACAGCCTGATCTATGGGTGGGCATGGCCAACCCCCCCCCTCAGTGATGCCCCTGGTAGAGATGCATAAACTGATAGTTTACTCCCCTTTGCTACCAAGCTGTTTGCAAAAAAACTAAAGTATTTTGGGGGTCCTAGAAAGTAATGTTTAAATTTATTTTTCATTTCAAAATGTACAGGCAGCACAGTATTTAATGAAAACAAAAATTATATTTTGGTTGGACAGAAAAACTTTTACAAAATAATTCATCAAATATGAAATTATGTATAAGAAAACAGTGTTGTAAATAACTAACATTTCTCTATATGTAACATAGACTCTTTTTCTACATATTCAATCTACAAAGTCAATAATCCTCTCGCATATACATAATCCCATTGATGTTACACATACCATATTGCCCTCATGTTGAGGTGATGTTGCCTCTTTGGACACATACACACAAATACATTCACACAACTACACACAAACACACTGATTCACAGCGACACACAATACACACATGCTTGGCTGAAAGAGGGACATATCCACATAGATCAATAAAGGTTTGTATCACCAGCAGTGTTAATTTTGGCAGCAAATTTTAAGTGTTTTAGTCATAGTCTTTTGACAAAAAAGCCATTTTAGTTTTTGTCATATTTTCATCATCTGAATTGCTTTAGTTTTAGTCTAGTTTTAGTCAACAAAATTTCCAGTTGATTTTAGTCGACACGACTAAAATCTAATGGTTTTAGTTAAAGCTTCTATCTGTCTCTTTTGACCCTTCCACAGTGCAATGTTAATTTTGGTGGCAAATTTCAATTTTGACTAAAAATACATTTTAGTTTAAATCATATTTTAGCCGTCTGAATTGTTATTGTTTTAGTCTAGTTTTAGTTGACTAAATCAAAACATTTTTAGTTGACTAAAATTTAACTAAAATTGTTTGTCCACAAAATCAATAGTGATCACCAGAGGGTACCATTGTGCAGTTATTTGTATAATGCACTAAATACTATTACAATAAAATAATAAAATAACTAATAATGGAAACAGTAACTGTAAGTGCCAGTTTACATACATTCCAAAATTCCTTTTTCCTTAGTTAGTTAGTTACATAAGATGAAAAGAGACATTTCCATCAAGTTAAGCCTTCCACACATTTGTTTTTTGATGTTGATCCAAAAGAACGCAAAAAAAAACCCTCTTTGAAGTAATTCCAATTTTGCAACAAACTAGGAAAAAATTAAATCTTGACCCCAAAATGGCAGTCAGATTTATCCTTGGATCAAGAAGCTATTATCCTACAGTTGAAAAATTATATCATTGAATATTATGTTTGCAAGTATGCATCTAGTTACAGTTTAAACATCTGTACAGACTCTAATAAAACTACTTCTCCTGGCAGAGAATTCCATATGCTTATTCTTCTTATGGTAAAAAAAAACTTTTCTTTGTCTTAGACTAAATCTTTTTTCTTCCAGTCTAAATGCATGACCTGTTTGTGAATAGATTTCCACACAATGGTTTGTATTGACCCTGGATATATTTGTATAATGTTATCATATCCCTTCTGAGGCAATGTTTTTCTAAACTAAAGAGGTTTACATTTTTAATCTTTCTTCAAAGCTAAAATGTTCCATTCCTTTTATTAGTTGTGTAGGCCCAGGGCTACTGGACAACATGGTGACACAAGAAGACACTGGGAGACATGGGGCATTGAGACACTGTGATACATAGGGCCACTGGGAGACCTGGAGGGACGACACTAGGGGACACTGGGACATGGGGACACTGGGAGACTATTGGATACTGGGAGACATGGCGCACTGAGACACTGTGATACATAGGGACACTGTGAGACCTGGGGTAATTGACACATGGGGACACTGAGTCATGAGGGCACTGGGAGACATGGGGGCACTGGGAGACTAGAGGAGAATGGTACACTTGGCAACATGGGGACACTGGGAGACATGGGGACACTGATGCATAAGGACACTGAGACAGTGGGAGACTTGAGACACTTGAGGACAGGGAGACACTGGGAGCAATCCATTTATACAGCAGATTCAAACTATAAGTAGTTTTTTGGTGATTTTATAGCATTTTCTCTTATGTCACTCCTTGTGATTTACATCATGTCACCCATACATAATTATGTTTTTACAAGAAAGGTGGCAACCCTAACTACATTTCACATACTCTTGCTAAAGTATGGAAACTTAAGAAGGGTGTATGGGAACAAAACGTGTGTGGACTGGCTGACAATGAAATTAGTTAAGTTAATGCTGACTTTGGTCTCTCTAACACTGTGGAATGTTCCCTTTCTTCTACATTCACCACATACAGCTTTTCTCTGTCCCAGACTATATACCAGAAGCTTCTGCCTGCTAGTAAGAAGGTAAGGAGACAAGTGGACCAGCGAGTGCTAGGGGACAGTCCTTAGAAAGTGTTGAGCGAGCGCATCATTCCGCGCATTTATGCCAAGCTCAGGGTGCTGTCTGCATAGTATTCCTTTAGTTGGCCATCTTGCATGATTGGCAGGCAGCCTGACATGTATTCAAGCCAGGCTGGCCTTCCAATTCTTTAGGCAGACATGCCCCCTTTTTGGGCATGTTCTCTTTTGGCAGGTTTTGTGATTTACATCGGAGGCACACCCTTTTACCACGCCCATTGACTTCCTGCTTCACTGGACACTGCTGTTAGGAGGTATGGATTAGCATAGGGTATGTGTTTTCTTATATCTGCTGTTTTCTTTCTCTCCAGCACCATCTCCATCAGATACATGATGCTTAGGAGTGTTTTTGGTTGAGAAGATTCTGTAATTAGGTGCATCATAATTGTCAGCACCAGGGCCACTTGGCTCTTAATCTGGCCCTGTGTAGCCCACCTCTGTACTTTTTCTAGTGCCATAATATCCTACTTTAGAACAGGTACCCGAAATTGCACAATATATTCATGATGTGGTCTTACCAGTGATTTTTAAAGAAGCAAATCCTAAGAATTAATGCCCTTTTTATGCATGACAATACCGTGCTGGCCTTAGCCACTGCTGATTGACATTGCTGCCTAGTTTGTTGTCTATAACAATTCCTAAATCCTTCTTGTGTGTTGTTATCCCTAATTCACTACCATTTAGGGTATAGGTTGCTTATGCATTCTTTAAATTTTTCTACATTAAATTTAATCTGCCATTTGAGTACCCAGTCCACCAGTCTATCTAAAACCCTCTGCAGCAAAGTAATATCTTGCCCACATTGTATTACTTTACAGAGTTTTGTGTCATCTGCAAACTCTGAAACATGACTTTCAATGCTTATTTCAAGATCATTTATAAATATGTTAAATAGAAGTGATCCAAGAACAGAATCCTGAGGGACACCACTTACCACCTCTGTCCAACTTGAAAATTTACCATTTATGACAACTATCTGTACTCTATTCTTATCCCGTTTTACCCAAGAACAAGAATTTTCATCTAGACACATTTCTTTGAGTTTGAACACTAATCTATGATGTGGAACTTTATCAAATACTTCTTCGTAGAATGCAATGAAGTTATTTTTACATGACCTATGTTTCATAAAAGCATGCAGATTTTTGCTGATAACCATGTTATTCTCACTGAATTCATTAATATATTATCCCTTAGAACCTTTCAAATACTTTTCCAGCCACAGAAGTTAAGCTCACAGGTCTATAATTTCCAGGCAAGGGTTTTGAACCCTATTTGAATATGGGAACCACAGCTGCCTTCCTCCAATCCTCCGGTACAAATCCTGAATGAAAAGAATCTTGAAAGATTAAAAACAGAGGTTCACTTATTTCCACACTTAGTTTCTTAAGTACTTGTGGATGAATACCGTCAGGCCATTGAGCTTTGTTTTCTTTCTTTAGTTGCTGCAGCAACTTGTCTTGAGTTATCCAATTGCAATTTTTCTGCAAGTTTTTTGGAACAAGCATTTAAATATTTATAGCCATAGGTTCTTCCTTAATATATATTGAATAGAAATAATTATTTAACATGTCTGCCTTTTCCTGGTCGTCATTAACTAACACCCCCATCCTGATTTTCAGTGTACCTACACTTTCATTTTTTGTTATCTAGAATTTATGTACTTAAAAAATACTTTGGGGTCGTTTTGATCTCTTTGGTTATCACTTTCTCATTTTGTAGAATCAAATTGCCTTTTTGCACTCATTATTGGCTTCATTATATCTTTTATAGTATGCCTCTGATTTGTCTGATTTAAAGGCTTTGCATTTCCTTTTCTTATTTTTCATTTCTTGATTCACTTTCCCTCTAAGCCACATTGGTTTGGAATCAAATGCCAGGCAAGACTCTCAGTGCTGACTTCCATTCCCCCCATCCCTCCCCCCTCCCCCTGCCCGACAGGGAGCCTTGTGAGGTCCAATTATAGGCGTCTCAAAGATAAACCTGTTATTGGACCATTTTGCCAGCTCAGAGCAGACAGGCACAATCTAAACTGGCAAGGGAAGAGTGGCAGGGATATATGTATTTATTTATTTTTAAATGGCTGTTTAGTTAGCAGAGGGAGTGCCCACAGGGAGAGAGGAATGAAAATGCTATCTTCTACTTCTAGGCACTGTGCCTGAAAGGGAGAAATCGTTACGTCTGTCGCCAGTCTGCTGTGCATACTGATGAAAGGCATCAAAAATGCACAGAATTGACATTAGGCAGTAGTTCTGGGATGCCAAAGTAATGTGTGCTGGGGGCACAACTAGCCCACAGCATACAATTAAAATAACTCTGTGTGTGCAGTGTTTTTGTGTGTGCAGTGTTTCAAGCAGAAACACTGCACTAACAGACTCCTACCACCGTGACCACTTCCAATCACTCAGTATGTCCAGTGTTTCAAGCAGAAACACTGCACAGATAGACTCCTATCACCACAACCTCTTCACATCACTGAAGTGGCCATGGTGGTTGGAGTAACCCTTAAGTTTTGCTGCATTGTGTTTTATAATGTGTTACTAACTCTGTACCACTTATAAATATTTGGAGTATGTTGTTCATGATATAAAATTGAATGAGATATTATTTAATGCAGCATTAATGTACTAATGTACAGTTATGAATAATTTTAAGTTTAAAGATGGACTTAACAAACACATTTGAGGATGTATTCTAAAGAGGATGCAAGAATCTCAAAAAATACTTGAAAAATATATTTTTTGTATATGATTGCTCCGTAGTCTATCCCAGTTCTGTGATAGAAGTCCAGTCTTTAAAATTCCTCTTAAAATTCCTCTTAAACAAGTGGGTGAGCTGAACTCAACATCAACTCAAGGAAAGAAAAATATGACATCACAAGAAATAACTGAAAGTATCCATTTGAACCATAATAATATAGAGTATTTGCAATATGGACTTTATCACTGCTCAGCTGTCTACATTTAATTATTGTCAACATTTTATACATCACTATGCAAGATTGAATTAAATATTGTTTAATGTAACAGTATTGTAACAAATAATATCAAAAATAATCATAATACTAAAGGTGAACATTATATCAAAGTTCAAATCAAAAGCATGTTACATGCAATACATGCATTTAAAATTTTAGAAAATGTAAAGATGAGAAGAAAATAGATGGAGCATAATTATTCCATCCGCATCTAGAGATATGTATATGCCTCTGTAACAAATCTTGCTTTAAATGGACACTGTATGCACCCAGACCATTTTAGCTCATTAAAGTAGTCTGGGTTCAAACTCCCATCTCCCTTACCCTGCAAGTGCAATTATTAGATTTTAGCATTGAATAATGATTTCCAATGCGCATGCGCTTTAGGTCTTCCCGCAGGCGGATTTTGGTGTGGGAAGAGCATGGGCAGAGCTGAGCCAGCGCCAAGGGACAGTGACTGAATGGTTTATTAACCCCTTCAGTACCGTGGGAGAGGGCCTTGACAAAGGGGAAATCTGTAGTGCCAGGAAAACGAGTTTGTTTTCCTGGCACTATAGAATCCCTTTAAACAAATTTAGTTTTTTGGTTTTTTTTAAATCAATTTTCTTAATTAGAAATTTCCTTTGTGTTGTAACTCATGTCCCATGCCCTACCTTTTTACATCAGGAATTACCACATACTCACTTTGAAGGGTAGGATAAGTAAACAAGTACAGAAATGTGTATATTTAACTAAACCTTTGTGTGGCCTTGCTTACAGGACCAAAAAAGTCACCAAGACCACTTCATCTTAATGAAAAGGTCTTAGTTCAGTGGTCCTGTAGTTTTAACCCTTTAATGTAAATTATACCATTGAAGGGTAAAATACACCTGTAATCTGGAAGATCACCTCCAGAGTCAAGTTAAACTCTGTTTACAATAAAATGCAGCATTTGATTAGAGGAGCATGGAATATATACTTATTAAAGTAAAAGATTTTGGAAAACTAATCAAAGATGAAAAATGAAAATAGGCTAATACAAATATTAACAGGGTTATTCAATGAACACTGGATTTTGACCAGATGGACATATATTCACAAGTCATTGATTTATAATACAAAAATGGTATTAAATGCATGTAGCAAGATGCACATTTGCAAATTATTGTTTATTTGTTGGTTTTTTTTTGTGAGTGAACAATAATTTAATATACTATTTGTAAGATACTAGTGCTAACAGCCAAAATAACTGTAGGTGGCATCAGGGTTAACCATGTGTCAGCTGACCAGTACTTGCCAGCCAGTTGCCACTAAGTTACTAAAGAAGGAGTGTAGACCACCCTCATGCCTCACCAATATCTACTAAACAGTGAGCAGACAGAAGCTGCACAGTCTCTAGAAATGCCCTATCAAATTGGGATAGGACTTGTTCAACAGCTGCAGACCAGAGAGCCAACCCACTGGACCACCAGGGAATTGATTAACAAAAAAAGCACACACTCTGTCATCTCCCCAATACACACTGTCACCCCCCCCAATACACTCTATCACCCCTCTCCAAACACATTGTCACCCCCAACACCATCAACCCCTCCACACACTGTCACCCCTCAATACACTCTGTCACCCCTCTCCACACACACTGTCACCTCCTCCACACTATGTCACATCCTCCAGACAGTCACCCCACAAAACACACTGTTACCAACGCCCACACGGTCAACCCTCACACACACAGTTTCATTCCCTCCACACTCACCCTCACTATGTCACCCCCCCACACTCCGTCACCCCCCCTGCACAAACTGTTATTCCCCCCATACATAATTAGCAGGCAAAATCAAAGAAAATAATCTTACCCAATCTTGAGTACACTGGTGGGTAAGATTATTTTCTTAGATTTTGCCTGCTAATTATGTTAATTATCTTGCCTATTTAATTATGTTAGCTGTGAGATATCATTATTGTTCCTGATAAAAGTCCCAGAGGAGGACTGAAACGTTGAGCTGTCAACAACTTTTTTAATTTTTTTGCATTAAACTTTTGATGTTTTAATTTCCTACAAAATATATATATGCATATATTATAGAAATTCCAATAAAATGAAATAAAATTACAAAATAAATAAGTAAAATAATGAAAATTAAAGAAATATGAAAAAATATGAAAAAGTTTTTATGAAAAAGTTACAAAAATAATCTTAGAAAAAATGAAAAAAATGTTCCTTCTTTTCCCTCCTAACCTGCAAAAAGAGAAGAAATAACATAGAAAGAAAAACATATATATATAAAAATTAAAACAAAAATGGAAAAATGAAAAGATGAGAAAACAAAAATGAAATTAAAAAATTATAGAAAGGAATACAAAAAAATGTATGCTCTCAATAACTATTAATTGATATACAAGAAACCAGGATGTGTTCAAGTCACCTGAAACAACATGGCAACAAGTGAAGGGAAAAAAGGAGAAAATATGTATAAAAATATATATAAAAAAGAGGAAAATAGATCATAGACCGGTGGGTCCTGGTATTATAGAAAACACACCAGGTCTATGTCTACATTCATTCCCCTCGGTTACAGTGTATCAAGTTTGCGAATCCAATAGATCTCACATTGGGATAATTTTAAATCTCTATTCAGTCCCCTCCAATGGGTTATTACTTGTTCAATGCCCATACATTTTAAATTCCAATTAAAATGGGGACAGGAGTTACAACTAACTGGAACCGAGTGTGAAGTTATTCCCCTCCTGATGTTATTGATGTGTTGTATAATTCTTACTTTTAAAAATCTCTTGGTCTTACACATGTACTTCTTGACGCACAGGCACTGCAGTAAATAAACTATAAAGTCTGTGCAGCAACCAATACTCGACTGAATGGAAAAATGTTTGCCTGTAGTAGTGCTAGTAAAGTGCACAGTGTGGCTTAAATCTATATTAAAACAAGCCTTACACATGTGACATCCCCATTAACCTTTACTAGAGCTTTCATCCATTTGATTATTTTTAAGATTCTTTTTATTTTTATTCCTAGGTATATTTACTTTTGGATAACTAGGAACCACTAAGCTTTTTAAATTGTGGTTCTTCTTAAAAATAATTGGAGTATAATTTGGTAACACTACACAGGGCCGCCACCAGAAATTTTGGGGCCCCTGACAAAGCACAAGGTCTGGGCCCCCGCTCCCTACTTAATGAATGCAGTGTGTGTTAGTGTAATGAATGCAGTGTGTGTTAGTGTAATGAATGCAGAGTGTGTGTCAGTGCAATGAATGCTGTGTGTGTGTCAGTGCAATGAATGCAGTGTGTCAGTGCAATGAATGCAGTGTGTGTGTCAGTGCAATGAATGCAGTGTGTCAGTGCAATGAATGCAGAGTGTGTCAGTGTAATGAATGCAGACTGTGTGTTAGTGCAATGAATGCAGTGTGTGTGTTAGTGTAATGAATGCAGAGTGTGCGTTAGTGTAGTGAATGCAGTGTGTTTGTTAGTGTAGTGAATGCAGTGTGTGTGTTAGTGTAATGAATGCAGAGTGTGTGTTAGTGTAGTGAATGCAGAGTGTGTGTCAGTGTAGTGAATGCAGAGTGTGTGCCAGTGTAGCGAATGCAGTGTGTGTGCCAGTGTAGCGAATGCAGTGTGTGTGTGTTAGTGTAATGAATGCAGAGTGTGTGGCAGTGTAGCGAATGCAGTGTGTGTGCCAGTGTAGCGAATGCAGTGTGTGTGTGTTAGTGTAATGAATGCAGAGTGTGTGGCAGTGTAGCGAATGCAGTGTGTGTGCCAGTGTAGCGAATGCAGTGTGTGTGTGTTAGTGTAATGAATGCAGAGTGTGTGGCAGTGTAGCGAATGCAGTGTGTGTGCCAGTGTAGCGAATGCAGTGTGTGTGTGTTAGTGTAATGAATGCAGAGTGTGTGGCAGTGTAGCGAATGCAGTGTGTGTGCCAGTGTAGCGAATGCAGTGTGTGTGTTAGTGTAATGAATGCAGAGTGTGTGTCAGTGTAGTGAATGCAGAGTGTGTGTCAGTGTAATGAATGCAGAGTGTGTGTTAGTGAAGTGAATGCAGAGTGTGTGTGTGTTTACTAGTGTATGCATGTAATGTAATAATGTAAATGTAATCTGTTATTCCCCCCTCCCTGTTTCTTACCTGGTCCAGGGAGGGAGGAGATTCCATGATCCCTGGTGGTCCGGTGGCATGGTGGGGCCCCTCGGCTCCCTATACTTGCAGAGGGGGACCAGCCGACTGCAGCAGTACTTTACAGCATTTCCCTGTCTCTAACTCCAAATTAATCCCTGGAGCCTCTCCAAATAATTAAAAATCACCAGAGGTCTTGTGAACCTGATACAAAGGTAGACAATACAAGACACACTCAGAAATACACACCCAGATAAATACATATTGTGACTGTGTGTCTGTATTAGTCGATATTTGTGTGTGTGTGTGTGTGTGTGTGTGAATGTGCATGTATCAGTGTGTATATGTGTGCATGTATCAGTGTGTATATGTGTGCATGTATTAGTATGTGTGTCTATGTCTGCAATGTGAGGGTGGTATGGTATGGGTAATGCAAAGGTAAAGTCACATTAAAACCATAAATGTTTAATTATCCCTCTCAGTTGTTTGAAAACATGGTCTTTCCTGCTTCTGTGCAGAAAGTGAAGCAGGGAAGATCTCAGAGACTAGCTGTCAGATTTAAATTTTACCACTGACAGGAGGCTTAATAGTTTGCATTAACTTAATGGAAGCAAATTAGGGATAACAACACACGAAAAGGACTTGGGAATTGTTATAGACAACAAACTATGCATCAATGTGCAATGTCAATCAGCAGTGGCCAAGGCCAGTAATGTATTGTCATGCATGAAAAAGAGCATTCATTCTCGGGATGAGAATATCATCACCTCTTTATAAATCACTGGTAAGACCACATATTGAATATGCTGTGCAATTTTGGGCACCTGTTCTAAAGAAGGATATTATGGCACTAGAAAAAGTGCAGAGGCGGGCTACAAAATTAATAAAAGGAATGGAACATATCAGCTATGAAGAAAGGTTAACAAATTTAAACCTATTTAGTTTAGAAAAACGTCGCCTGAGTGGGGATATGATAACATTATACAAATATATTCGGGGCCAATACAAACCATTGTGTGGAAATCTATTCACAAACTGGACTTTACATAGGACACGAGTGTGGCAAACCTAGCCACTTGGACATTACTTAAGGACTATAGCTTTAAGGGTTGCCTGTGTGATTTTGGTGATATGTATGTCTCTGGGTGTAATGTAATGTGATTGTGTAACACTGTATTGCCTGCATTGGCTATCTGACAAAAGCAGATAGCTGATTTCCTTTCGTTTCACGAACGGCACCTTTGCAGGCCGTTCGTGAACCGAATAAACCACCCTGTAACAGCCCACACAATTAGAGGCTCTCCTAGGTGGCCGTCGTTCGGCTACCGACCATGCGGCGGTCGGCCATCTTGGATCCTTTGTTCCTCCAGCGGTGTTTGGCCGTCGAGCGCGTGGTACTAAAAACAATTACTCGATGGCGCGAACACCGCTGTACTTCCAGGCCGTTCGGGAGTTCCGGGCCATTCGGTATTTTATTCCCCATACATCAATCGGTCTTTTAAGTATGTGTTTTAATAAATATGTTTTTCGTGCGGCGTTCGGTTGTTTTAGCTGGGATCTGAGCGGGTTATCTCACGAATTATGCGCTCAGACCCCAGCTATCTACCGAACATCCATTCGTGCAAATAGACCTAACATTCGAAAAACTGTGTATTTTAAAGTAAATTGCCGGTTCTGCTGCACGGAGGGATAATCCACTTAACGGTACACTCCAGTGGGAGGATCCCTCTCGTGCAGCAGTGCCTGATGGGGGAAATGCTCTGCAATGTAAGTTCCCCACGTAGTCCACCCCTGGAATACCCCTGGCATAAGACTCAGGAAACCCCCTGCATGGGGAATTGTATAAATTGTGGAGCCTGTGAATAAAGCCTTCAGTTGACTCTCAGAACTGTGTTTCGTCCGGTTACTGGGAGATTTGGGATATTGCCTTACTTTTCAGCGCTTGACTGTGGATTACCTTCTGAACCAGCGGAGATCGTGGGATTTAATATTGCCGCTCCGCTACAACGAGGCCATGCGTTTAGACTGGAAGAAAGAAGATTTCGTCTAAGGCAAAGGGAAGGTTTTTTTACTGTAAGAACAATCAGGATGTGTAATTCTCTGCCTGAAGAAGTGGTTTTATCAGAGTCCATACAGATGTTCAAACAGCTACTGATGCATACTTGCAAAAACAGAATATTCAAGGATATAATCTTTCAATGTAGGGTAATAACTGCTTAATCCAAGGATAAATCTGGCTGCCATTCTCAAGAAGGAATTTTTTTCCTAGCTTGTTGTAAAATTGGAAGTGCTTCAAACTGGGTTTTTTTTTTGCCTTCTTTTGGATCAACAGCAAAAAAACAAATGTGAGGAAGGCTGAACTTGACGCAAGTCTCTTTTCAGCTATGTAATTATGTAACTATAAAGGAACACAGTAGGGTCAGGAACAAAAACATGTATACCTGATCCTATAGTGTTAAAACCACCATCTAGCCCCCCCGGACTATACTACATTTTGTTAAATCTTACTTGTATTCAAGTCTGTAGCTGCTGCTCCTGATCTGCCTGCTTGGCTGACACCATCATAAGTGATTCTCTGAGCCAATTACAATGCTTTCTCATAGAATTGGCTGAGATTGTCAAGGAGGCAGATCAGGGGCAGAGCCAGCACAGACCTTGGCCAATCAGCATCTCCTCATAGAGATACATTGAATAAATGCATCTCTATGAGGAAAGTTCAGTGTCTCCATGCAGAGGGGGGAGACACTGAATGGCAGTTCAAAATGTAAAAAAATAACATAAAGCATGTACCATGCTGATAAAGACAATGTGAATGTGTCATGTTTTGCCATACAGTGATCGTTACTGAGACTGTGATGTAGCACTGTTTTGCATGATCATATGTTCATTAATAAGAGATTAAATATTTTATTACAAAGAAGCATGCAAGTAGGCACCACGTAAGAAGGACAATCGGCTGTCATAATCCACCACTGATCCACATATTCCTTAATATATGTGCCTTAGACCCTCATATAATCATTACAGAAAATAACTTTTTCCCCCCAGTTATCTTGACAGCTAGCATGCTACTACTCAGTCTGACAAAATAGAACCTATACAGTGCCCAATGTAATATAATCTTACGGACCTTCTTTCAGTAAAATTTAATTAGTTGCATTTCCGTTGTTACGTTTAAACTTAATGTTGAAAATGATGTAAGTAGAGTTGAGCTGACACCTGGATGTTCAGGTCCGGCGGGTTCGGCCGAACTTTGAAAAAAAGTCCGGGTTCGGGCTCGAACTTGACCCCGAACCTGAACCTCATTGAAATCAATGGGGACCTGAACTTTTGGCCTCTAAAAACTCCTGGAAAGGGCAAGAGAGCTGCAAAAGGAAGTAAAATGGGGGGAAGAGTAGGACAAGTGCCCTGCAAACAAATGTGGATAGGGAAATCACTTAAAATAACATAAAAATTAAAAACACAGCTGAGCCATAAAATAGCACTAGATGGAATCTTTGAATTAGCTATGGAAGAACATAAATAAAAATCTAAAGCATGGCTGTCAGGAGGATCAACGGAATTATAAATTTGAGAGAGGCTTGGAGTGCAGGGTATTATCTTTCATTGTTTAACCCCTTAAGGACCAAACTTCTGGAATAAAAGGGAATCATGACATGTCACACATGTCATGTGTCCTTAAGGGGTTAAACTGAGATCAACTCCTGATGCATGGAGAAAAGCCTCTGCTATTGTGTATCTAGTTTACACAGAGTGACCCATAGGTTGAGGAAGCGGCGGTGGAGGAGGAGGTAGCCAACACTGTTTTTTATTTGTTTTGTTTTTTACACTGCTTGGATGAGGAGGTGGTAGAGGAGGAGGAAGCGGAGTAGGAGTTTAAAACTGTCCGTCTCCACCATATGGAATGACAGCATTTCAAAGGCCACAAATTTTGAAATGCTGGGTGCGGTGGGCAGTAACAGGTGTACCGTCTAGGGGACGGCCGCTCCGCTTTTGCACCCTGCTCCCTCTTATGTTGTGCTGGTGCCTTTGTGCGACCACCGCCTCTTCCTCCAAACTGAACACGTCGCTTGACCTTGATTCCATGTGGGGTCTAGGACCTCATCATCCTCCACATCATCTTCCACCCACTCCTCATACCTGCCCTCCTTGCCGGTCTGCACACTGCCGAAAGCCACAGCAGTTGGCACCTGTGTTTCGTCATCATCAGAGACGTGCTGCGGTTGTCCTTGCATGTCCACATCCTCACACATAAGTGGTTGTGCATCAGCGCACTCAATCCCTTCCACTTCTAGGGCAGGGCTAGGTGGATGGCCCATGGAAAACCCACCAGCATAGTCATCAAAAAGCATAAGAGACTGCTGCATGACTGGTGGCTTAGACTGGTTGGGTGATTTGCAAGGGGGTGAGGTGATAGACAGATGGCCATGGGCTTCAGGCGCTAACTCTGAGCTTTCAGCAGGGCACTGGGTGGGAGACAATGTGCAGGAACTGGAGGCACTATCAGCCATCCAATCTACTATCGCCTGTACTTGTTCTGGCCTCACCGTTCGTAGAGCGGTATTCGGGCCTACCAAATAAAGCTGAAGGTTCTGTCGCGTACTGGCACGTGAGGAAGGTGTTTCGCTTGTGCGTGTAGCTGGCACAGATCGACCACGTCCTCTCCGTGCAACAGGGATTCCACCAACACCAGAAGCACCACAACCAAGGCCACGTCCCTTATTTGACGCTCTCCTCCTTCTTTGCGTTCACCCACCAAACTAACAGATGTTTTAGGTCAGGCGACAATGTAACCGCCAACAGTCAACAATTTATTTATCTTTTTAGTTTATTGGACTGCAAGAAATGCACCGCAGGCCGCAAATGTACTATTTAGCACAGAAATTAGATGCTTCTATTTGACTCTCAGGTATGAAGAGCAGGCCACATTAGAATGTTTACAATTGCGCTGTAACCGCACTATTATACTCTCAGATATGAAGAGCAGGCCACAAAATGTACTATTTAGCAGTTTAGCACCAAAACAATTAGAATGTTTACAATTGTGCTGTAACCACACTATTAGACACTTCTATTTGACTCTCAGATATGAAGTGCAGTCCGCAAATGTACTATTTAGCAGATTAGCACCCAGAAAATAAGAATGTTTACCACTGCGCTGTAAACACAGTATTTGACGCTTCTATTTGACTCTCAGATATAAAGAGCAGGCCACAAAATGTACTATTTAGCAGTTTAGCACCAAAGCAATTAGAATGTTTACAATTGCGCTGTAATCTCACTATTAGACGCTTCTATTTGACTCTCAGATATGAAGTGCATGCCCCAAAATGTACTATTTAGCAGATTAGTACCCAGAAAATTAGAATTTTTCAAGTGCGCTGTAAGCACACTATTAGACGCTTCTATTTGACTCTCAGAAATGAAGAGCAGGCCACAAAATGTACTATTTAGCAGTTTAGCACCAAAACAATTAGAATGTTTACAATTGCGCTGTAACCGCACTATTAGATGCTTCTATTTGGCTCTTAGATATGAAGTGCACGCCCCAAAATGTACTATTTAGCAGATTAGCCCCCAGAAAATTAGAATTTTTACAAGTGCGCTGTAAGCACACTATTAGACGCTTCTATTTGACTCTCAGATATGAAGTGCAGTCCTCAAATGTACTATTTAGCAGATTAGCACCCAGAAAATAAGAATGTTTACCACTGCCCTGTAAACGCAGTATTTGACGCTTCTATTTGACTCTCAGAAATGAAGAGCAGGCCACAAAATGTACTATTTAGCAGTTTAGCACCAAAACAATTAGAATGTTTACAATTGCGCTGTAACCGCACTATTAGATGCTTCTATTTGACTCTTAGATATGAAGTGCACGCCCCAAAATTTACTATTTAGCAGATTAGCACCCAGAAAATTTGAATGTTTACCACTGCGCTGTAAGCACACTATTAGACGCTTCTATTTGACTCTCAGATATGAAGAGCAGACCACAAAATGTTCTATTTAGCAGTTTAGCACCAAAACAATTAGAATGTTTACAATTGTGCTGTAACCGCAGTATTAGACCCTTCTATTTGACTCTCAGATATGAAGAGCAGGCCACAAAATGGACTATTTAGCAGTTTAGCACCAAAACAATTAGAATGTTTACAATTGTGCTGTAACCGCAGTATTTGACGCTTCTATTTGACTCTCAGATATGAAGTGCAGTCCGCAAATGTACTATTTAGCAGATTAGCACCCAGAAAATAAGAATGTTTACCACTGCGCTGTAAGCACACTATTAGATGCTTCTATTTGACTCTCAGATATGACGTGCTCCCCACTAAAATACTATTTAGCAGTTTAGGACCCAAATCATTTTTAGTTTTAAAACTGCAATGTGACAGCAGTATTTGATGCTTCTATTTGACTCTCAGATATGAAGTGCACCCCACTAATGTACTTTTTAGCACCCAAAAAAAATTAAGTTTTAAAACTGCAATGTGACAGCAGTATTTGACGATTCTATTTGACTCTCAGATATGAAGTGCACCCCACTAATGTACTACCCCACTAATGTACTATTTAGCACCAAAAAAAATTTACTTTTTAAAACTTCGATGTAACCGCGGTATTTGAAGCTACTATTTGACTCTTAGATATGAAGTGCAGCCCACCCCACTAATGCACTAGTTTGCAGAATTCTTTCCTAAGCTGTCCCTATCAGCGGCAGCATCCTCTCCCTACACTAATAAGACCGCATGTGCGTGCGGCGCTATGCGACTCCAGCTTATATATAGAGGCTGGGTCACATGCTGCACTGGCCAATCACAGCCATGCCATTAGTAGGCATGGCTGTGAGGGCTTCTAAGGGCACACGAGTCAAATGCTTGTTGATTGGCTGTCCTGCAGCCTTTGAAAATGCGCCATTAAAATCGCCGAACAACGAATTCCAACCCGAACATACAGTGATATGTCCGTGTTCGGGTCCGGGGTCAAAAAAAACTAATGTTCGATACGAACCCGAACTGAAAAGTTCAGGTTCGCTCAACTCTAGATGCAAGAAGTTTCATTTGTAATAACACATATGAATTGGCAATACACTTGTAATATCTTAAAGTGCCAGCAGGTGGTAATAGAGACCTAGCTATTATTTTACTGTTGTACACACTAATGTACAAAAAAAATCTTGAAGGAAGAAGTATTTAAATGTAAAATTGCAACAAATTGCATCAAAAACAGAGAATATGAGAATGGGCAATAGCTCAGCGAAACCTCAATAGCTTGACCTTCAGTTAGTCCCGCTCAGGTCTAAAAAATGTTTTTTGCTCACTTGTGCCTTTACACAGAGAACCTAGAACATTTACATATCAGGCTATTCCTGCTCACGAGGGCAGTAGAGATCCTAAATGCTGGCTATTTCCCACTGCATGAGAGATACATCATCTCCAGAGAACCGTTCCGACCTTCTTTGGGTCTCATCAGCTGATATTTTTCTAGGGAGAGTGAGCACGGGGTTCGCTTCCCATTAGGGAAAGCCTAAGTAAATGCATTGCATGAAAGCCATTTGCACTGTAATTTTGTGGGAGCTTGTCCATTATGCCTAATTGTTTTGGAATAATTTTAATTTGCGTTTTTTATTTAAACATAAAATAGCTCTACACTATATGTAATAATGCTCAAAGCACACTATGCACGATTTAAAAAAATAAAACAATTGTAAAAATAATTAAAAAGCTTTATTTGCTTCCCAGAAAATGGAATTAATATTTTACACCATGTGGTGGCAGTATTGCATAAGTTTAAATAGGTCAGCTGTTTAAAATCCTTATACAATGCACCAACAAATCCTGTTTTCTATTCTATTACAGATGCATCTATATTGTTTAAACTAAAGAGTAGCATATCAGTGTTAAATACATTTATAATACTGTCTTTTGACAATTCTGTCCTTTTTAATTAATGTAAATATCCATATTTTTTTCATTCCATTATATAAGAGAGAAAAATACTGTCACAATAAAATGAGTCACAAATAAGTCAGATTCAGCACTTTTTATATCCCATTCTTATAACACTGATTACAAAAACATACTAGATTTGTTTATATTTATTTGTCTTGCTTATGTAGTGCCACTTGCCATAGGAGCTAACAATGACTGGAAATGTGAGCTCATTTAAACAGGGCCTTCTTCACCTCTCATATTTCTTTCAATACTATTTTGTATGTCAATAGTTGTAGTTTTATATTCCCGAAGTACAAATGTAAAGCACTGTAGAATATGTTGGCACTATATTAATGTTGATAATAATAATAATAAAAATAAAAAAAAAACATGTTTTAGGTCAGTAGACATTTTGAGATTCATTTTGTTCTCTACTGAAACTCGTTCAAATTTGAGTTGATCGGGTGATCTTTTGGAATTCTGATTTCTAAAAAACATTGCAGCAAAATTTCAGCACAAACGACTCGCACATGAACATTTTTATTTCTGATTTGGAGTGCTATTCCTGGTCACATAAAAAGGCATGTGGAATAGAAAAGGATTGGTTTTAGGGTTTAAACATATAAGCAGCTTAGTTTACCATGATGGATAAAAGGTCTGTCCAAGCGTGTGGGCTGTAGCTGCTGTCTAATCAAAAAGTGGAAAGCAAAAGATGATTGATGGTTAGGGGACAGCCAGTAAATGTTGATTTTAGACACAGATCAAGTGACAACTAAACAACAGAGGGGGGAAATGACGAGCAGTAAATTTCCAAGCAGAAGTCTTCCATATACATTGACTGCAGCTATTTCGGAATACAGACCAGCAGTGCTACTGTGTGTTTTACCTTTACTCTGCCTATGTAAGACTAGGGATAGTCTGTGCATTGATTTTAGTGTGAGACTAGGTTTAGCTTACTGTTGTGTCTACCAAGCTAGCTATTGCCAGTGGCAATGAAACAGCTTTGAGTGGGAGATAAGAGATTGCCATTGTGTCACTGATCTTAGTGTGAGACAAGGCTTCCAATTTACAGTTTTTAAAAGTTTTTTTGGGATGTGTATTGTTCAGTAAAAAAAAGAAAAAAAGAAAGCTCCTCTTGCCTAGCAAGTGGCACTCACACAAACTTTGATTGTGAGACTGGTGTTTATGTTACTGCTTTGTGTGCTGCTGCTAGTCACTTAAACTTAACAGTTATTTGGAATAATTAAGTTATAGTTTCAGAGTTTTTTTTTGTTAAGTGTAAAAATATATATATTTTTTTTCTGAGTCTGTTCAGTCCAGTGTGTGCAAGCACCAATCAGTGCATTCTGTGTTGTGTGCAGTGTAGTGTTTCTTAAAGTCAGACACAATAATGTCACAGTAGTAAGTCAACTAAGCACCAACCTATTTGCTAGCCAAACAGCTGTTTTTCATGAATAAAGTTGCATTAGTTTACACAATATACAATCAATGATATCCCAAATGTATTTAAATAAGAAAAACAATCCCACTATCATCAATGGTGTCTCCTAAACCGAAAATTTTTTTACTGAAGGGTAGGGGAAAGGAACATGTTCCCCAGTTCAACATCAGCAGTGGTTCTTGACCATGAGGACTGCTGATGCCTTCTCCACTGCTGCCTCCACTTCTACCACCAAAGCCACAACCACTATGAGTAGAATTCAGCCTCAGGGTAGTCAGAATAGCAGCATGTTATTAAAGTCTGATTCACCTTCCAGGAGGCAAATGGATTCTTTCAGGCTTTTTATGTTGTAATAACTTGTGCTGCTGTTCACAATGTCACTGCAACCCCTCCCACCTCAAACCCCCTACCCTCCACAATAAACAACTAAGGGAGAGCTGAGCCAAGACTTTTACTGTGTCACCAGAGCCACTCTTTGCTGAAGAGGTAGAGCAGAGTACCAAAGTAGCATCCCTATTGTCTTGGCTTTGTTGTTATGGTGGTAAGGAATATGGATAGGGCATTGATAGTGGGAGGGCGGGAATGCCATCACTTTTATGGGGTAATTTAAATTGTCAAACTACTACAACATCCTCAAATGAGACATAAAACCATCAAATCCATTTGTCAAAATGCTAACTGTAAAAACATAACTAGTCAGAACTCATAAGGCACTGTAACTTCACTGTAACTTTACAAGATAGTAGCAAAAGCATACATTGGGGGTATTTGCTTTACTAAGATGAGTAAGTTGAGCATAAATTGGGGGTTTGATCATAGTGGCACATATCAGATTTACAAAATGGTCAGTAAAATGTGAGGTCAAGCATGGTCCTTAAGAGGTGTTAGGCAGTGACTGATTTCCAGTTTTGTGTTTTGCTATATGAAAGAAGTCAGATAGGTACGTAATTCCCCCCCCCCCCTTCACACACACACACCAACGTAATCTTTAGACCACTCTGAATTCCAATCTTTCATCCTGTCTGTGAGAGTCTTCACCAGTGTTTGTGCCAACCTTCACAAGAAATACTTTATGAATCCCATCTATTTAAGGAGACATATCAGTCACTTTCTTTCATCCTCAAGAATAATTGTCAGGCTACTCCCTTACTATCTGATAGGCTGTCCTGTATAATAAAGTGTAAATATCTAAAACCACAACAAGCTTGTCACTCTCTCTAAGAATTCATACAGAATGAATAAATAAATAAATAAATAAATAAATATATGTTTCAAGTAATTAATATTTACAAAAACAGTGAACAATTATAAATGTCAATTAAAACCATGTATATATATATATATATATATATACACTTCCTTAAATGCAGTGGTGTCTGGTTAAATTTAAAGGTGTTTTGGTGCTGCTCCCCACCCTGACTTGTTGTACTCTACCTCATGAGATGCCTAGGCTTGTCCAGCTCCATGGAAAGTGGATAATATAAACTGCAAATATAACCATGCCAGACACATGTGTTTCCTAGCAAACAGTTAGCAGTAGTCCTTACAATAGATTTTATGTATGTATTTTGCCCATATAGACCAGCCTCCATTGCCTAAAAAGGAAATACAGACCCCAAGACTATCCTTCTGTCTCAATAATAAACAATATATACAGGAAAAAAACCTAAACAAAAAACAAACAAAACAAACATAGTGTATAACTGTATAACACTATGGCATTGTGAATTATAATAGGCCACTCACACGTTCAAAGCCAAATATATCTTGTAATATATTTCCTAATCCTACATTGAGATAGATAAATAGATAGACAGTCATGAAACATGAGTACAAGTGTTTTTGTGGAGACATTTGTAAAGATCTGGATTAATACATGTATCAATATGTGAATACCTTACTTTTTACCTGGCCAGAATCATAAAAGTAATGTACGTTGGCAAGAAGAAAACTGTACCTATTGACAGCTATGATGAAACCCTATACAGGTCAAGACTCTATCTAGTCTCTCACATAACAGATTAAGTCATTTCCAATTATCATTTCTGTGGCAGCAATTTACGGGGCCGTAACGCAGCAAATTAAGACCATTAATTGGCAGGGAGTGATCGTTGAAAAGTAAATCGGTTGGGAGTGAGTGAGATGCAATTTGTCTGTCATTGGAGAAGCAGTGAAGAGGAGGCTGTATAACCATGAGAACCCTGTCAGCAGGTATTATATTTATAGGCATTAACCTTCGAAGGAGATATTTTTGGTGTAACAATTAGCACAGCTTTAAAACGCTTT